CACTTAACAATAAACTTAATCAAGGAGGTGAAAGACTTGTATACTGAAAACTACAAAACACTGCTGAAGGAAATTAAGACATAAACGGAAAGACATCCTGTGTCTTTGCAATGGATTGGAAGACTTAACATTGTTAATATGTCCACACTACCTTAAGTAATCTACAGATTCAATGCAATCCCTATCAAAATCCCAATGGCATTTTTTGCAGAAATAGAAAAATCCTAAAATTCATATGAAATCTCAAAAGACCCCAAATAGCCAAAACAATCTTGAGAAAGAAAAACAAAGCTGGAGGCCTCACACTTCCTTACTTCAAAACATATTACAAAGCTAAAGTAATCAACACAGTATGTAGTTGCATAAAGAAAGACACATCGATCAATGGAAGAGAATAGAAAACCCAGAAATAAACCCTCATATATATGATCAAATGATCTTGACAGAAGTGAAGGGAACAAGAGAAATTCAACAATAATACTTGAAGACTCCAATATCCCACTTTCAGTGATGGATAGACAATATACCACTATCAATAATGGACAGAATCAATTATGTCTCAATAAAAAAATTGTCAAATAAATAAATTAAATAATGGATAAAACCTCTAGGCAGAAGATCAACAGTGTATTAGTTCACTAGGGCTGCCATAACAAAGTACCAGAGACTGAGTGGCTTAAACAACAGAAATTTATTTCTTACAGTTCTGGAAGCTAAAAGTCCAAGATCAAGGTGCTGGCAGGTTTGGTTTCTTCTGGGGCCTGTCTTTGGCTTGCAGATGGCCACCTTCTTACTATGTTCTCACATGGTCTTTCCTGTGTGCATGTGTCTCTTTGTGTCCTAATCTCCTCTTTTTATAAGGACACCAGTTAGATTGGTTTAGGGCTCACCCTAACAGCCTCATTTTAATTTAATTACCACTTTAAAGCCTCTATCTCCAAATACAGTCACACTTTGAGGTACTGGGGGTTAGCGCTTCAACATATGAATTTTGGGCAGACACAATTCCGTACATAACAAACAGTAAATTAAAAAGTAAGGGATGGAAGAACCTAATCTTCTCAAGTCTTCCAAGCCAATATTTTCATTATTAATCTGCATGAAATAGCCAGTTAATATTTCTGAGCAGAGGAGCAGTGTGACAAGCCTTAGGTTTTAAAAGGACTACTTTAGCTGCTATGGGGGCAGGAGATGAGAGGGTATTTTTCAGCCTAGGAGGATACTCCAACCATCCAGACAAAAGACAATAGTGGCTTGAGCCAAAGTGGTAGCAGTGGTGGTAGTGAGAAGTGGTGGGATTCTGGACATACTTTAAAGGCTGATAGGATTCAAGATAGACTAGATTTGGGACATGAAAAGGAAATAATAAAAACTGACTCAAAATATTTGGTAGGAGCAACTGGAAAGAAGAAACGGTGTTTACAAAGCCTTTCACTGTGAGTCCTATCAGTCTCAGATCAAGAAGTGTTAGGCATCTAACACGTCCCCAGAAATGCACTAAGTGCTAGAGACAAGAATGAGCTTTAACCTAGCCTAGAAGCCAAGATATCTCAACAGGAGATATCAGTGGACCAGAGAATTCAATCCAACAAACATAAGCGTGAATATCTACTACATTCTAGTTACTATATATACTACAGAACAACACAAATGCTTGGTGTGCTCCATATAATACTTAAAGGTTGTTTGAAAAGAAAAATGAATGGTGACTGGAGAATTAGGGGAAGGATTTGTTGAAAGAGGTGAGATAAGAGGGTGGACTTTGGAGTAAAGAATGGCATCCAACCGGAAGAACTGCATAAATAAATGTTCAAGACTAGAAATTAATTTGGCAAGTGTGGATGTCAGGGTCTGCAGGATTTCCACCCAAGTACCTCCAACAGCACAGAAAAATGAATGCATACCCTTGTGGGTCTAGAGTGATGTCTACCACAAGCTTGAACCCTCTTTTGAGTATCATGGCTCACTACTGTCACATGAGCCTTCACTCACACTGTGCACACTCTGAAATGGAGACACAAAATGACAATCTGAGCTAATCCCCTAAAAGTTTCTACAGAAGATCACAAGGCTAGTCAGCAAATCCCTAAAAGTTTCTGCAGAATTTAGATCCCTTTTCTGGCCAGCCACTATAAATAGTTTCTGCAGAAGACAGCAGAGCCACTTTAAAGGGGATCAAGTGAATCCAAAACAAAGAAAAAATTTTTTGAGAGAGGGCTTTATGTTTCTATACTATTCAAAGAAAGAAAAATTGCAGAATATCTTCCAATTGCACATTTTAACCCAGTGATTCTCAACTCTGGCTGCAGGTAAGATTCACTGGAAGTGCTTTTAAAATACCAAAGCTAGATCCCTACCCCAGAACAATTAAATAAAAAATCTCTAGGGATGGAGCTCAGCCTTTATATTTTAAAAAGACCCCCATGATATTCTAATGTACAGCCAGGGTTGACAACTACTGCTTTAACTGAAATGCAGGAGAATTAGTTGTTCCAGATTCCTCTTTGGCAAATCTCTGTGGCTTCCAGTCCTGGTTTTCACGATATTCCAGAATATCTCCAACATGGGATATTCTGTTAAATATTAAAAACAATTTAAAAATATTTAACAACCAGTACAAGAAAACAAAATAATAAATAATAAAATAAAATAAATAAATAAACAAAAAACAATACAGCATGAAACAGGATGAAACTGGATGTAGGACTGGAAATGAGTCAATACTCCCTGCTGGGGACAGGTGAGAGGGGTTTTGACAGAGACGACAGATGTCTTGAGAGGGAACACTCAGGGTAGCAGCTATGTCACCAGTCTAGCAGTATTTCACTACTTTTACCATATGGCGCATGCTTGCTGAATACCAACCTTCTCATACAGTTTGATAAAATTATCAAAACAGGTTCTACATGATCTTGATTTACTGAAAGAAACGGATATGTATGATGCAACATTAGCAACATAAAGGTCAGTGCTGCATAATGAAATATCAAAGAAAGAAGGACAGTAATTCCATAAAGTTTAAGAATTATTTTCTAAAATCAAAAACAGTATAATCTACGTATCCCCTCGCTGGGTCTTCTTCACAGTTCTGTAATACCCTGAATTCACTTCAAAAGTGATCTCTTGGGCCGGCCCGTGGCTCACTCGGAGTGTGGTGCTGACAACACCAAGGCCACGGGTTCGGATCCCATATAGGGATGGCCGGTTCGCTCACTGGTTGAGTGTGGTGCTGACAACACCAAGGCCACGGGTTCGGATCCCATATAGGGATGGCCGGTTCGCTCACTGGTTGAGTGTGGTGCTGACAACACCAAGGCCACGGGTTCGGATCCCATATAGGGATGGCCGGTTCGCTCACTGGTTGAGTGTGGTGCTGACAACACCAAGGCCACGGGTTCGGATCCCATATAGGGATGGCCGGTTCGCTCACTGGTTGAGTGTGGTGCTGACAACACCAAATCAAGGGTTAAGATCCCCTTACCGGTCATCTTTTAAAAAAAAAATGATCTCTTAATTTCTCATAGGGTAATTCTCCACATGTCAAGCAAACCACAGATAAGAAAAATGATACACACAGGCCTGGCTGGTTAGCTCAGTTGATTAAAGTGCAATATTATAACACCAAGGTCAAGGGTTTGGATCCCCTTACCAGCCAACCACAAAAAGAGAAGAGAAGAAAAATGACACACACAGGCAGGGCTGCACCTAATGCCATCCAAGCTTGATTTGCCAGCAAAGCATGTACCAACATGCCACCCACTTTCTTTAAAAAGTGACTGGCTGTCTCCACACAAACTGCATATATTTTCTTAGTTATTTGTTTATTGCCTGTCTCTCCAATAGAATATATACATATTCTTCGAGGACAGGAACATGTTTTGGTCGTACATCCTCCCCCTAGAACAGTGTCTGGCACACAATAGGCACTCACTATTAGGTGAATGAATACATGATAAATGACAGATTAAAAACAATATGTACTGTAGCTGGACCTAACATCCCCAGAGGAAAGGCATTCAAGGAATTAACCAAAGAATGATGTTTAGAAAGAAAGAAATCCCTAAGTACCATAAGCTATAGAGACTAGAGTATATTTATCCTACTCAACTCTTATTTTTGTCCTGTTCAAATCTTGGTCATATGACATGTCATTTTACCTTTTTAACAATTATTTTATTATGCTAGAACAATCACTAATGAAATATGAACATTTACAAGCTGAATTTCTCCAGCACCTAAAGTTGTAAACCAGAATAAAAATTAGCATATGCCAACAGCTTTTAAAAAAATAGGTTATACCTTTCTAAATTAGACTGGCTATTTTATGTTATTTTTCCTGATTATCAAACAATATACATTCATACACACAGAAAATTTTGAAAATATAGAAAAGCATAAAGAAGAAAAAAAGCACCTGGATTCTCACTACACAGGGCAGTGCTAGAATTTAATACCCCAATTTAAATTCTTAGTGCACAAACTGATACTCTACTTCAGGCTGCTGGCTCACTGAAATATCATTAAAGCTCACTTAAGTTTTCTGATCCTTTCTACAAGCTCTTATACACATTATCTCATTCATCTACATAACACCAGCACTGTGCAGAGATTAAGAGTGAGGATTCTAGAGCTAGATCGCCCGGCTGGGAACTCCAGCTCTGCCACTAACTAGGTGGTGAACTTATACACTTAAAACCTCTCTATACCTCCACCTTCCACATCTGTAAAAAGAAGCTAATAACAAAAGAGTTAATATTGTAGAGCATCAAAGAGTGTCTGGCAACATTAAAGAAGCATTTTAAAAATATATTTCAGAAGCAAAAATAAACTATCCTTTCAATTTCAGACAGGTGAATGGTCTGCATATTTTCTACAAAACTTTCTGCCTAACAGTCTTACAAACAGGCCTTGTAGTTAGGTGGAGAACTGTTCCAAGAAATTATAATTCTTAAAACTCATCAAACTTAGGTCTTAGATTAAATAGAAGGAAAAAAAATTACCTCATGAACTTGTCTAACACGTCCTCTACCCACATGTGCATTCGGAGGGACTGAAATCCATAGCGCCAAACTAGTTTAATCATGTTAATTATAAACCAGCTGCTCTCCTCAAACACCAGAGTTTCTCCATTATACACCCCCATTAGGCCACCAGAGCCCTCAACAGGAGAGAGACCTGCAAAAGCAGAGAAAGGGTAACTAAGTCAGTGGTTTCTACACTGATCAAATGAAAGAAGGTAATCTGAAGCTCCCGGGGAAACTCTAAAGCAAGTGAATTTGGGCCTTCCCCAGTTCTCAGGAGACACATTAAAGATCTATCTTTAGAACAGTGAAATACACAAACAGATGCTCCTCAAGTTATGATGGGGTTTCGTCCTGATAAACCATCATCATAAACTGAAAATATCCTAAGTGGAAAATGCATTGAATACACCTAACCTACCAAACATATTTTTAGCATGCTCAGAACACTTGCATTAGCCTACTGTTGGGAAAATCATTTAATACAAAGCCTATTTTATAATAAAGTGTTGAATATCTCATGTAATTTATTGAATACTATACTGAAAGTATAGTATACTATACTGAAAAATAGAATGGTTGTACGGTAGCATCATAGAGTCAAACAATCTGAAGTCAAATCATCATAAGTCGGAGACTGTACAGCACACTCACGACAATGAACAAAAGCAGATTCTCTAGAAGATGGGTCGGATGACCATGCAGATATATCACAATTAGACTAGCTATTATTAGCCTAAAAAGATTAAAAAGTCAAAAGAAAAAGCCAGAGTACCAACTGAATTCAATTTAAAAACAAAAAAATGTCAGACATGAATCTGGTGGCATGAATTGCTCCTGGTACACATATGTCCTCATGAAGGAAATGGAAGCACAGGAAGCACCCACAAGGAATGGGGAAGGCAGACAGCTGAGGGAAAACAGGCACTCCCATTCTGATCTGAATCCTATTTTGCATAATTGGAAGGAGGCCAAAATTACACAGTATTCCCTGAGGAAAGGGAGGCCTGCCAGACGCCCCTCCCCCCCCTCATCTTTTAAAAAAAAAATGATCTCTTAATTTCTCATAGGGTAATTCTCCACATGTCAAGCAAACCACAGATAAGAAAAATGATACACACAGGCCTGGCTGGTTAGCTCAGTTGATTAAAGTGCAATATTATAACACCAAGGTCAAGGGTTTGGATCCCCTTACCAGCCAACCACAAAAAGAGAAGAGAAGAAAAATGACACACACAGGCAGGGCTGCACCTAATGCCATCCAAGCTTGATTTGCCAGCAAAGCATGTACCAACATGCCACCCACTTTCTTTAAAAAGTGACTGGCTGTCTCCACACAAACTGCATATATTTTCTTAGTTATTTGTTTATTGCCTGTCTCTCCAATAGAATATATACATATTCTTCGAGGACAGGAACATGTTTTGGTCGTACATCCTCCCCCTAGAACAGTGTCTCCCCCGCCCCCGGCCTGTCCAGCTTCTCTGCTGGTAGGGCAGCAGTCAAATGTCTCAGGTTCTAGCACAGACTCATGTCTGCACCCCTCGCTGTGTGTGACTTTAAGCCAGACACTTCAAGCCCCTGGGTCTCATTTCCTCAGCTATAAAATGAGCACACTAAAGTTTCTGCTAGCTCAAAACATTCTCTGATTCTTCAACACAAACCCAGAGGTCTAAAAACTGACAACACCAGCCATCCTCACCCCCACCCCCAACCCATGGCTGTAATTCCAGATAACTGAAGATACAGATAACCAGTATCCCATTACAGGAGAACGGCTCCTAACTAAGGCAGTACCAACTGCTAACAATGAAGTGAAGAAAGTTTTACGAACTTCTCTGTAAAAGACAATTAAGAAGGCAGAAAAGTTTCAGTTGTCCATCTGATAAAAATATCCAGGGATGTCACACAGAAATCGGGCGAGCTCTAAGATCAAAATTACATACCTAGGTCTTTGACAAAACGCTTCATGTGCAGATTTAAAGGATGGATGACAGAGCCTCCTGCCTCATAATCTTGCCCCTGAACCTTCATGGTGGCCAGACGGCCCCCCACCTCTTCTCTTTCAAACAGGTCAATCTTCACATCTTTCCCAAATTTCTGCCTCAGATAATAGGCTGCTGAAGTGCCACCAATTCCAGCTCCAACAATTGCTATGAAGGAAAAAAAGGAAATTTTTTTTTCTCTCTTACCAGTTATGTGGGTTTGGTTTGGTTTTTGAAAGGCCATTAACTAATGACAGAGGTTACTCAGGCTATTACCAACAATTTCGGGGAGCCCTGCTGCGGCGGCGGGGGGGCGGGGGGGGCGGGAAGTGAAAACCTGCAGTGAAGACAGAAATCTCTGAATCTGGACAGACACTGCCCATAGACAAAACAGCAGTAGATTAATTCACAAACTGACAGCAATCCCTTTTTTTTTTTTTTTTTTTTTTTTTTTTTTTGGCCAAATGCCCAAAGATTCTTACAGGTCTTTGTGGAGGCACCAACGTGCCTGCACAACCTTCTTGGTGCCCAACTCACACAGAAGAGGGGGGCCTTTCCAACACGCATTTTAGACAAAGTGACGGCCATTTTTCCCTAGCTTTGTTCTGTCTCAAGGTAGACTCAAAGTAGATAGGTTAATGATCCGGAAGAACACAGCTTTAATGGGGATGGCGAGGGGGGAAGGACAGGGAGCAAAAAACCAAGGCGACTGAAACTAGCAAGAGAATAGGTTCTTCCGGCAGCTGTAGGAGTCCAGTCTGAGAAACTGCGCAAGCAAGGGGCCTCTGAAAGCACGCTGACCTCAGCAAACCCGAGATGGGGAAACGCGAATCCCGAATATCAACAAAAGCAGACAGGGTCAGCTTCTTTGCACTGCTCCCTGTTCTGTGTCTGCGTGCGCCTGCAATCCGCAAAGTGGCAGAGGCCGTACGCTTAAGGACGAACCAGAAGACTGGCCACTCAAAGGTGCAGCAGAGAGAAGGCGGCGAGAGGTACCTCGGCCTCCCCGGAACCCCAGGCCTCCAAGATGGGCTTCAGGGACGCCCAGCGCCTGAGCGCCCCGGACCCTGTCCATGCCCATTCCTCAAGCGAACATCTCTGCACGCCCAGAAAGGCACAATACCGTCCCCAGGAGGAACGAAAGCCACCCTAAGACGCGAATGGGCAAAAGCGCAGCGTAAGCTTGGGGCTTGGCCGCGCGGCCTGACCTGCGTCGCGGCTGCGGGGCCTGGGCACACTACGCAGCAGCCGCCCGGCGCGGGGCGACCTCCGGCGCCCCTCCTGCGCCTCCCCCTGCTCGCCTCGGGGTTCCGAGCCTGAGCGTTTTAGGTCTGTGTGTGGGGATCGGCCCCCCTTACTCGACTGCGGTCCTGACCGGCGTTCACAGGAGTAGAAGGAGGGATAGTTTCCTAAAACCCACGGGGTCTTCACTTCTGCCACTCAAGACCGAGAACGTGGGGTGGGGCTGAATGGTCGCCTCCTTATTCGCCCTCCCGCCGCCCGGGTGTGCAGTTAAGCGACCTGTACCGAGCAGAACCGGACCACCAGTTGTTTGGAGTCGCGCGGGGCGACCTCCGGCGCCCCTCCTGCGCCTCCCCCTGCTCGCCTACCGATCTTATCCGGCGGGGCTCGCAGCTCCGCGCTCCCGGGGCACCCCCAGCTGCATATCAGCAGCCACAGCCCCAGAAGCGACCAGATGAGCTCTGCTGCGGTGCACCCCATTGCCTCCCTGAGAGCCGCAGACCGCCGCCACCCCCCGCAGTCCTTGCGCCGCAGCGCGTCTGCGCGCTTCACCCGCCGCGCCCCCACGCCGGCCCAGCCCCTCCGAGCCCCGCCCAGATCCTGCGCAGGGCTGCTCAGCTCCTACACCGCCCTGCCGGGCTCCTTCCCCCGCCCCGCCCCCTCCCAGAGATCTCGCACCCCTGGTACACCCTGCACTCCTGGAGTTCCCAACTCTGGGCCACTCGGTCCTCCAAGACCACCCTGCCCCTCCGAAGTCCACCCTCTCTTAGAAGACATCAAAGACACAAGTTGAGGCTCACCCCAGCTCTCTTTCTTCTTTCCCACCTGTTGTGGTGATCACTATGTTCCCAGGACTGTTGGGTACGACATGAACAGGTAAATGGTACTAGGTGAAAAGAAAAATGAGGGAGTCTGGGGATGAGGTGGTCCAAGGTGAAGGGAATGGAATAGTAGTAATGAACATGAATAAAAGTAGTGTACCTGGAGGGGACTAGAATATGCCACCCCAAAATATGCCTCTTTGGCATAAGGTTTATTTCAAGCTGAAGGCAATTGAGAAGGTGAAGGCACAAGAAAAGCTCTCCGCCCTCCCCCACCTGCCTAAAAGCAGAACATAAATTTACAAAGGCAAAGTTGTCCCTCCTCCCCTCTCTGCCTGGAAGGACAAAAGTTAATCACTGAAGAAAACTTTAGATCTGTTAAATAAAACTTATAGGAAGCCATTGGTTTGAACTGAGCTCCCGCACTAGGCCAAACCAAAATGGAGTTATCCGTGCTAAAGTTCCAGACCACCAATCCGGAACTAAGCTATTTATCTGACCTGCCAAGAAATCAGAAGAGAGAGATAATAGCCAAATCCCTAAACAGACCAGTTTTAGCCAGAATGGTAAGGAAAGTGACTTGGAAACAACCAATCAGCTTTTTGTTCTGTTTCTGCTTTCTTCATCCTTTTTTGTCTATAAAGCCAAACTCCTCAGCTCATCGGAACACTCATTCTATTTTATAGGATGAAGTCTTGCCCAATTCTAGGATAGCAAATAAAAGCCAATTAAGATCTTCAAACTAAATTTGTTGTGATTTTTGTCTTCAGACAGACCTATATTAGCCAGGAGAAGAGGAATCTATATGACAAACTTTACTAATGAGACTTTCTCTTCGGTTTATTTGCCTTCCCACCATTTGCTGCCCCTAGAGTATCAAAATCCTTTTCGTTTGTCTTATCACTTCTCTAAAAATTTACTATTCTTTGTTGAAGTTGCCATTTAAGCCTGAATTCAAAGCCACCTCTTGGAGATTTACTCATTTCCCTGGGTATCTCACATGTACATGTGAGGTACACATGTTATTAAACTTCTGTTTGTTTTTCTCTTGTTCACCTGTCTTTTGTTACATGAGTCTGTCCCAACTGAGAACTCAGAAGGGTAGAGGAAGAAATATTTTTTTCCCTAAATACGGATACCATACAGTAGAATATTATACATGCATTAAAAAGAATGTTAGGTCTATAACTATTGTCCTGGTATTATTAATTGAGAAAAGCTCGTGGCTGAGGGATGGATATAATATAATCCCATGTCTGTAATTACAATACTTTTCCTCCCTCCATCAAAAAAGAATAACTAGTATATGAACATGAAGAATAGTATGGATGGAAGGACAATAAGTTTGATACAGAAGTCAAACTTGGAGAAAGAAAATAGAAAATCCAAGGCAAAAAGCATTCATTCATTGGATAAATATTTGAGTTCCTTCTAAGCAGATGCTCTTGATGCTTGAGAAAAATCAGTGAATAAAATAGATTTAAAAAAAATCTAATGAAGCTGACATTCTAGTGAAGAGAAACATATGACCATTAGAATAAATAAGTAAATGATGTGATACAGAGTGAGGTTTGCGAAATAGGGAATGGGTTTCAAATTTAAATAGCATATCCAGGGTAGGCCTTATTGAGTAGATGGTATTTGGGCAAAAGTTTGCAGGAAGTGAGGCAGTGGACCATGTGGATATCTGGGGAAAGACTTTTCTAGGCAAAGAGAATGCCTGGCATATTTGAGGGACAGCGAGGAAGCTGACAGAACAGAATGAGAAGGCAAAGTGGAAGTGTTAATGGAACAAGATGCAAGCCCTACAGAAAATACACTTATACTGAAGTACATAAAAATATGATGATTAAAAGAAAAAAAGAGGGGCTGGGCCGGCCCGTGGCTCACTTGGGAGAGTGTGGTGCTGATAACACCAAGGCCACAGGTTCGGATCCCATATAGGGATGTCCAGTTAACTCAGTGGGTGAGCGTGGTGCTGACAACACCAAGTCAAGGGTTAAGATCCCCTTACCGGTCATCTTTTTAAAATAAATAAATAAATAAAAGAAAAAATATGAAGATTAAGTCCCCCTTTTCACTATATTTAGAAATTACAAAGAAAAAAACTAAACTGTCTTTTACTTTCCAGTTTCTAAACTACGTTGTGCCCACAATACCTTAGTACATTAAGTCCAATAGGTCCTTAATAAATACTTTTTGGTTGATTGGAATTGGCCATGTTAGTGATGACCTTAACCCAAGTGTCATATTTGAAAACTCAGATTTCTGGTACTAAATCCTTGTGAAAGAGTTTATTAAAAGGGCACTTCAATGAAGAAACAGCATAGAAGACTTGCAAAGTGGGAGGTGGAAGGCTTTCTCATCCTGTACCCTTGCCCTTTCAAAATAATTGTGCCACTGAAACTCAAAGAGACTTTTTGAAAAAAACCATATGGGAAAAATGTTACCATATATATGAAGTATAATTATAAGGTAATATAACAAACATTTAGGCAAAGGAGTGTTATCCAAAAAAGCAGTCTTTTTAGGAAGCTAAACACTGAGGAAGATTCTCTCCTTGACCCTTTTCTCTACTAGGCCTTGGCATATAAAGATTCCAACAAAGCACTATCAACACTATCATCGTTTCTAATGGCTCAAAGACACATCCCTAAGTTGACCCTAGCCTTCCTGAAAGTACCGGTCTAAGAAAACTCAAGGCTGCCAAAAGAATTTACTGTCTGTTCCAATCAACATCTAAAGATAGAGCCCTTGTCTCCCAGTCTCTGTGGGAGGTTAGGAACATAACTTCCAGCCAGTTAACAAACCCAGTTAAGAGCCATTTAACAAACCCAGATGAGTTTCACATGGCCCAACTCTCACTTCCCACTTTTTGTAATTTTTTACCTCCCTGATTTTACTGAGTCTCTACTCACTTCCTTCTCTATTCCCTCATTTATGAAAAAGTGCTTATTTCGGTTTACTTGGATAATGCTGCAGTTGGTGGAAATCATAAACATTTAAAGTATTAACACCCTGTGAATGCATTGGATTTAAGAGAATAAACATTTTGTGAAAATCACTTGGTAAGGATTATAGACTTAATTACTGCATTTAAAATGAGACGTTACTTTTTTTAAACAATGTGTCACAGATGTGGACTTGTATGCTTGTATGTGATTTACTCTTAGTCGGCAAACTTCTAAAAATCTAAAGGTTCTAATTGAAACATAGGAAATGAGTCTTCTTTTGGAAGAAAGCAAGTGTATTTTTGCTTTTCCCCCAATCATTATCGAAAATAGAAATTTAATTAAAGACGTGACCATTTTTTACTTTAAAAAAAAAAAACTGCCTTGAAGAAAATCATTCTCATACTTTCTTACTTTCCCACATCTTATTTCTCTTCTATTCTAAATACTGTAGTCTAAATAATATTTATTCTAACTTAGGCAAGACAAGAAATTCAGAAGCAATATAAGAAAAGACAAACATGTGACTACATAAAATCTAAACATGTTCAGATGGCAAAGTATAGAATTTTTAAGGTAAAAAAAATAATGCATGAGAAAAATGTTTGCCACTAATATGACAATACCATTGGGGTTGATATTATAAACATACAAAGAGCTCTACAAATCGTTAAGAAGAGGTAAGCAACTCTACATAAACACAGACTAAGTAAGTATATGAATAGGCAATTCACAAAGGAGGAAGTAAGTGCCAATGGTTAAAAATACATGAAGAGATGCTCAACCCCAGTAGCAGTTTACACAAATGCAAACTAAAACAAGGAGATATCATTTTTCATCTATCATATTGGCAAAAACTAATAAGGCTAATAACATCTTAGTTCAGGAGAAAATGGAGTGGGGATAAGGAAGGACTCAGGAACTGACTTTAAAACACTGTTAGTGGTGATGTGAATGACTACAACCCTTATCTATTAAGATTATATATATACCACTTAATTCAGTAACCCCATGTGTGGGAAACTATTCTACAGAAATAAAAGAATCAATTTATAAGGATGTATATACCAGGATGCTGTTGCAGCATCATTTGTAGTAGGAAAAAAAAGTGGAATAACCTGAATGTCCATCAATACCATTTATGGTAATTTATTCAACTGACTACTCAGTTGAATAAGACAATATTTACTGTTTACTATTTTATATTTACTATTGAATAAATTTATTTATAAGGAAATATAAATTTACTATTGTGTAAATTTATTCAATTTACTATTGAATAAATTGTGGCACATTCATTCTACTGACTATTTTGCAACTATTAGAAAACAAATTCGGGGCCGGCCCGTGGCTCACTCGGGAGAGTGTGGTGCTGAGAACACCGAGGCCACGGATCCCATATAGTGATGGCCGGTTAGCTCACTGGTGAGCGTGGTGCTGACAACACCAAGTCAAGGGTTAAGATCCCCTTACCGGTCATCTTAAAAAAAAAAAAAGAAAAAGAAAACAAATTAGATCTGTATTTCTTTTTTTTTTTTTTTTTTAATTTTCATTTTTATTGAATCAAAATTGATTATACATATTTTAGGGGTTCAACATTGAGATATGTGGATCAAATCAATATTACTAGCATATATATTGTTAGAAATTGTAATTATTCTTTATGCCCCTTGTCCAATCCCTCCTCATCCCCCTTTTTTTTTTTTTCCTTTTTTGTCTTTTTTACTGACCGGTAAC